TACTAATTCATGAATTTTGGATGCTTGCTATCTGGAATTGAGTGCACATGCACAGGAGGGGGTTACCTGACTGACTTTGCTGTGCACACACTTACTCTGTGTCTGGAGACATTAGTCTAAAGCATGAGTATGCACATTGCCATCGCTGTTCCTCATGGCGTTAGTGCCCTTCTGCCTTGGACCTGTGAGCTTCAACCTCACCTCTGTGCCTCCCCACACAGTTGCGTAGCCTGTGAACTTTCACAGACAATTTGTGACACCTTAGAAAAACTAGGCTCTGATGTCTTTAGATTCACTCCTCTTTTTTTGAGTATAAAAGTATTTTGCCACTACCTGAAAAGTTCGCAGTTTGAACCTACCGAGCAGAAGAAAGTTGCAAAGATTTAGAGCCTTCGGCACTTGTAGGGCTGTTGTACTTTGCCCTACAGGGTCATTCTGAGGTCAGAATAAACTTGACGTAGGATTTGCCATGCCCCGTCCTAATACATCTGTGATGAACAAGCACTCCTGATGTTAGTGATGTCTGTGCTGTCCTGACTCCTCCTCTCCCCCCAACTCTGTAACACCCCAGCTACTGTTGTGTGATCCCAGAGTTCTGTGATTGCAGTTTGCGCCTGTGGTTGTTGCTCAATGGGCTAGATGCAGGGGAGGAAACGAGCCTCCCTTCACTTGGAGCCTGCATTCATCTTGCTCTGTCTCCACAATTGGGCTTTTCGATTGGCATGTCCCAGGTAACAGAGCTGAAAAGTAAGTGCCCTTGCTTCTAAGGAGCATTCTGATTATGTGTTTTTCAGATTGATTTGTTTCTGCTTCTGGCAGTTCAAGGTATGGTCATATTCTTTGCCAGCACCATAATTTGAATACATCAATTCTTCCCTTTTTCTTCATTGTTTAGCTTTTGTACACATATGAAAATATTGATAGCTGTGTGATTTTAACTTAGAGTAAATATTTCTTCTTGGATCGCTTGGGAAAACTCCTCTGGCCTGATATTATTGCATCAGGATATGTATATATGTCTTAGGGTATCCCCAAGACCACCCACATTCACTGATTTGCTAAGAGAGGTCAGAGAACTCTCATAGAGTTGTACTCACAGCTAAGGTTTGTTGTAGCGCAAGGATGAAACAGCATCAGCAGAGGAAAGGTGCTTCTTTTCCTGTGAGGGCACATCAAACAGTCAGTGAGATTACACCTGACCCTGCCCGGGGAGGCTCTTTAGAGACACAGCCCCAAGGTTTTTATAGACTGCTTGTCACACTGCTTGCTGTACCTAGCAACTGTAAACATTGAGAATATGAGAAAGAAAATTGGTGTTTAGCACAAATAACAAGGCACATTCAGCCCTCCTTTTGGTGCCGGCACAGTTCCGTACCAGGCCTCAGATGTCAGCCAGCGGCTCATTATAAAAGCAGGCTTT